GGGCAACTGCGGGCCGCGGGGGAAGGCGCCGGGGGTGGGCCGTGGCAGCGGCTGGCGGCCACCGGCCCCTTGCCAAAACGCGGCCGAGCTCTGCCATGGGGTGTGGGGGGGGAAATCAGTGGGGTCCGGATGCCGGGGTCCCCTCCCTGCCCCGCGTTTACACCTACCGTTAGGACACGGAGGGCTGCGATCAGCCCCGTGTGCCGGAGGAGGGGACCGGGGCAGAGCTGCAGCAGGGGGCCGCACCTGCAGGGATGGACGGACGGATGTGGGGACGGACGCAGGGACCCCAGATTCATCCCCTCCCCGGTGCCCCCCGCGCTCACCTATAGACGGTGGCCGTAGGGGACGTCACCTCCTCCTTGATCTGCTGCAGCTGGAAGCTGTTGTCCTGAGAGGGGGGACACCGAGGTGGGTGACAGTGGCACGGGTGACACCGAAGGGGTGACACTGAGGAGGGGCAACACCGAGTGGGGGTGACACTGGTCCCCGTTAGCATCACCCTGGTCCATAACCTCAACCGGGAGGGTCCTGATGTCCCCAAACTGGGCTCCCATGCCCCATCCTGGGATGCGGAGGGGACGCGCTGGGAAGGGGACACGCCAGGGAGGGGACACGCCGGGGGTCTCACCTTGAAGAGCTCAGCCAGCTGCTGGCGGGTGGCCTCGAGGCGCTCGAAGCGATGCCCGGCGCGGGCAAAAGCCGCACAAGCGTCCTCCAGCGCCGGCAGCTCGCCGCGCTGCACCGTCCTGCGGGCGCGGGGACGGGCTGGGGACACGGTGCCCCAGGGGGGGACCCGTGTGTCCCCCCCTCTCCTTACCTCTGCCCCATGTGGACGTCGCAGAAGAAGCCGTCCTCGGTGGCCTGGGCGCTGCAGAGCGTGGCCCCGAAAAACTGCTCCGCCACCGCCCCCAGGACGCAGGCGCCAGACTGCCAGAAAGCCTGGGGGGACACGGAGGGGACACGCTGTGAGGGGAGCGGGGCGCGGGCCCGGCCCCCGTGTCCCCCGGGACTCACCGCCCGTCCCTCCGGCGTGGAGAAGTCGAGGAGCTCCAGGTCGGTGTCGCTCTCCAGGGGCCGGTCGAGGTCCTGGAGGGTCCCGTTCACCCGGGCCACCAGCGCTGCCTCCGCCAGGCCACCCCTGCGGGGACACCGGGGGAACACCGTGGGGACACCATGGGGACCTGGGGACCTTCTGGGGACCCTGCAGGGATGCTAGGGACCTCGTGGTAACACTGTGAGGACCCTGTGGGGACCTTGTGGACACCGTGGGGACACTGTGGGGACCCTAGGGACAGCGTAAGGACCCCATAGGGACACTGGGGACCTCGTGGGAACACTGTGAGGACCCTAGGGACACCATGGGGACACCGTAGGGACCTTGTAGGGATGCTGGGGACCTCGTGGAGACACTACAGACACCACGAGGACCCTGGAGACACCCCTGGGATGATAGGGACAGTGTGGGGACCCTGTGGGGACACTGGAAACCTTGTGGGGACCCTGGGAACACTGTGAAGACAATGGGGACCCCGTGGGGACCATAGGGACAGCGTGGGGACGCTGGTGTCCCTGTGGGGAAACTGTGAGGACCCTGGGGACACTGTGGGGACCATAGGGACAGCGTGGGGACCCGTGGGGACCCTGTGGACCCCGTGGGGACACGCTGGGGACGGCAGGGGCAGTGTGGGGACCCCGCGGAGCCCCTGGCTGTCCCCGGCGGGGAGGGGAGGGAGGGACGGGGCCCGCACGTACCCCAGCTGCGCGGCCACCTGGAAGGGGGTGGTCTGCAGGGCCCGGCCGGGCAGGCGGCCCCCCCCGGGCAGGGCGATGCGGATGGGGGTCCCCGGCGGGGGGCGGCCGGGAAAAAAAAAAAAAAAAAAAAAAAAAAAAAAAAAAAAAGTGGCACATCAATTTTCATTTTTCCATCAGTCTGTTTCTCATCCACAGCTGCGTTAGCTGGGCAATGTGATAATTGTCAGCCATCCATAAGGAAAGATGAAATGAAGGCTAAAGCCTTTGATATGCAAGTTTGCTTACAAAACCATATGGGTGTTTGTTTTTTTTTTCACTGTAGTTCTCTTCAAAAGTACCAGCCAGCCTTTACCAGCAGAGAGAAAAACCACTTCTTCATAATCTGTCTAAATGTATTTAAGTAACAGTTATCAAAATGCCTCCACTTGTGAATCCGTATTTGGATCTTTCCGATTTACAGAAAATAAATGCTAGTTAGATAATGTGAAGAAATAACAACTTTCTTTGACTTTTGCCATCATCTTTTTTACTGACTCCATTAGAGGAAGGTTGTGGCTGGCAGACAAAAGTGTTGCTGATATTCCTCCTATCCTGCGACCATTTATTTCTTAAAAGAACTTGCACCACCTAAGCACCACATTACTCTACGGGGTGTAACTCCAGTTATCCCAAATATTCCTCTTTTCCCCGGCCATGACAATTTAACTTCCATGCTCTGATTCAGGCTGCACATCTTTCAGACTAGGCGACCCATTTTAGATCTGTGTTTCTAAAGCATCCTTTATAATGGAGCCCAAAGCATGTTTTTAGCCAACACCACGTTACTAAGCACTACTAAAACCGGTGCCAGGAGAAAGCAGCAATGATAGAGGTTGTTTTCATCAAGTCTAAAGCCTCATGGAAAAATGCTGGGTCTTTGCACTGCAAAACCACCTAGTAAATACTAAACAGCTTCACAGCAAATTTAAACTTCAATGAATCTGTCATAAAAAGTTAATGCACTGCTAACTACTTACGGACATTGTAAGTCCTGCCTGAATGGTTCAAACCAAATCTTAGTGTCATCAGAAATCCTCTCTCTCTACTCAAACCTGAGGCATGACTTTGAGGGTTTGGGAATGGTCTAAGTGTGGACAAGAATTCAGGGACCAGCTAAAAGGGACACTGTCAGCTGAGACACAGCCATCAAACATTAAATATTTACTATTTGCCCTCTAAGGTCTGAAATCATACTCATGTTTTCATTTCCTTCCCAGATCTCAACTTTCCTGGCTCTGTCTTGATGCTTAGGACTCACCGCCAACCAAAAATTTCCAAAATAAACCAAAAACCAACCAACAGACGACGGATTTTTCCCGAGGCGGAAGGGGGGGGACAGGCGGGGGGGCCCCCCCCCCCCCCCCCAAGCCCCGGGGCGCCGGGAGCCGAACAGTCCGGAGATCGTCCTACGGTGGGGTTTTGTGGGTTGGTTTTTTTTGTTGTTTTTCTGCCTTTTTGCCTTTTTTTTTTGGGTGGATTTTGGCCAGCTGGAGGGGGAGCGGCGACGGTCGCTGCAGAGGAAGGCACAGGAGGGGCTGGGGGGTCTCTGCCACCGCTCGGACCCTTCGCTCCTCCCTGCGGCAGCGGTTTGGTAATCGGCTAAAAAACAACATCCCAACAGCACGCTTCATCTTTCCTTGCGGTTTTTTAGTTTGTTGTTGGTTTTTTTTTTGGTTTTGTTTTTTTTTTTAATTTTTTTTGGTGTTTTTTGGGGTTTTTTTTTTTAAACTTTTTAAACTACTACTGGAAGTTTTTATTTCAACAGCAATGCTTTTTTTTGTTAAAACTTTTTTTTTTTTTTTTTTTTTCCTATTCTCCCCCC